TAATCCGACTTCCCTCACTCTACGTACATTGGTCAGAGCATTGTAGAACTAGTTCACTGTCAATCATCTTTCGCTATTTCCATCTTTGCAGTTGCACCCGTGTCTACTATCTTTTGCTCTAAGTTTGTCCTCCCAGATGCGTCCCACACAACCATTGACACACACATACATCTTTGCTCTGTAGGCTCACGAGTCTGCTTCAGCGTGTTTACAGCCCACTTACTCGCAAACATGCGTCTGTCCAGTGACCGGAAAACCACCCAAAACAGCAAAAGTCACAACATCTGAACAACCTCCAATGCCCACAGGGCTCAGAGGACCAAAAAGATGGACGATCTGGGAATCGAACCCAGGACCTACCGCATGCTAAGCGGTCATTATACCACTAAACCAATCGCCCAGCAAGGATGATCTAGCCCGGACTTGAACCGGAGACCTTCAGTGTGGCAGACGAGGGAGGTGAGGCTCTCGAGCTGTTAGACTGACGTGATAACCAACTACACCACCAGACCGTGTTATTGTTGAAGGCAGTGAGCGAAAAAGGGGACTAGGAATGGCTGGGAAGAGGGGGGGGGACCACAGAGGTTGCGGGCGTTGCGGTGTGGAATGTGGTGGCATCGTGAGTGCAAATTTCGTTGGTGGGGGGGCGGGCGAACCGGGGTGCGCCGAAGACGACACCGACAGGCCTGGGGCCCTAGACCGGCCGGGTTCTCGCGTGGCGGCCATGGTTCGAACGGGATGATATGCTGATAGGCAGGTCGGGTGGGCCGGAGGGAGAAAAAAACGGTTGAAGAATCTGAAGAGCGACTCGCCAAGGTCATGGGTCATGGGACATTTACGGGACGGGGTTCGAGTTCATAAGTGTTCGCTATTGTGCGATACGTACAAGAGGAGAAAAAAAATGGTAGCCTCTGCCCCTTCCAGTCCACTCAAATGATCCAACGGACCGACGAGTAAAAGGAAGAGAGACGCAAAATAAGTACAGATAAAAAAGTCCACTCCATGTCCCCCCATTCCATCTGATCGTCTGAAGAGTATGCGTACAATAAGTCAATCGTTGGTGGGGAATCAAGAGCCTGCCGTGTCTCCTATACGCGGCAGCTGAAAAAGAAAAATCGTGGCTTCGTCGGAAAAGAGCTGGGTTTCCTTGGGGTTCGTGAGACAGCGCGCGCGCGCGTGCTTCGCCGTGTTTTTGTGTCGCCCTTAATTAGTACCGTCCATTCGTCTGAGCCATGGTCATGAAATCTAAACAATCGTAGTGCTGCTCTTTTAGAAGTGCTGTCCCATTTCCATCATGCAGGGGAGGCGCCGGTGTTGCCTCCCCCGTTTAATTACTTTCTCCGAATCGTCGTCGTCGTAGCGCGGAATCGCACTCGATTATCCGATTGTTGTTGAGATAATACCCTTTAATTATTCTTCTTGGTGAGAGCAACGCCCAAGCCGACACCGAGCGCGATGGCAAGGATGATGAGTACAACAACAAGGAGGCACCACCACTTGAGCTTCTTGCGTCTGCGCGCGTGGTCTGTCGCAACCTTGACCTCTTCGTTACCCTTTTGGATGTTTTCGACAGTCTGTTCGGCGTTCTGCTCGGCGGCTTGGACGACGGGCTCCTGCTGCTCGACTAGAGTGGCCAACTCCTGGAAGAGTTGGGCAAGCTCCATCATGGTTTGCTCAATGCGCTGCAACTCGCTGTGGCGGGCTCTGACGTTGCCCAAAATAGTGTTGGCGTGGCCTGTCCTGTTGGATTTGAGCTGGTCGAGCCGTTAGTATACAGTGCCGACGAGCCGAGAAAAACCGGTCACAAGTAATGCCAAAACATACCGCTGTTTGGAAAACACCTTCGTCGCCCCAGTCCATTTGTGTCGCTTGCTCGACTTCATCTTCCGTCGCTTCCGGGTTGACGATGCGGTACTGGCGGGCAATCTGGTCGCGGTACCGCTTCTGGTAATCGCGCTCGATCTGCTGGTACTTTTCTAGTTCGGACTTGAACGTGTTCTTGAGAGAATTGAGTTGGGCGGTCTTGGTGGCGCGCGATCCGTCTTGTGTCTTGGATAGATCCCTCTCGAGGGCCTTGATGCCTTCCTTGACACCGGTGTTGCGGATTTGCGTCGCGGAGACAGCCTGCTCGAGCTGGGCGCTGGTGCTGCCGTCGGGGGAGCCGAGAGAGCGCTGGTGAAGCTGGGCAATGCCCTCAATGTCGGAAGTCAGGCCATTGATTTCTGTGCGCAGTTGTTGAACCCGAGCGAGGAAATCCTGTTGGCTCAAAGTGCGAGGCGCGGCTTGCCCGGCATACTTGTCCGCCTCTCCGTACGGCTGCATTTCGTACTGGCCTTGACCATATTGAGGCTATTATTTAGGAAAGTCAGCGATATGGCATTGAGGAGGTATGCGCGGATGGAATTGGAGGGCGGCGGACCTGTTGGTTGTCATAGCCGTATCCGCCCTCGGCCTGGGGGCCCTGGGCGTAGGGATTCTGGTTATACTGTTGGTACGACATGTCTGACTAAAAGCAACTGTCGATGTCGACGGTAGACAGTGCGATTCGAATCGTAATGTACTCGACGAGCGGTCGACGAGCGAGAAGAATTGACAGAGAGAGACCGGCGCTATATGAGGTGATTGAGCCGGCGGTCTCGTGATATTGTGTGGTGGTGCAAGGTGAAGGACCTTTCGGCTGATGTTTGGTTGTTAAATGACGTTGGACCTCCGGCCGCTGACAGGAACTGGGAAGTGCTGGAGAGACGCTGAAATGACAATGAGGACGGGCCCAATCAGGCACCGGGACCTGTCAGAGCGGATACCCCGGGCTGTGTGTGTACTCCGAACGTGGTTGGATGGAGTCGCTCGTGAACGGGGCGACAGTGGGCAGGATTGGCCGAACTGCTTTCCGGGGTCCCTTTTTTTCCGTTCCCTTCTTCCTGTTAAAATCTGACGATGAAGAAACAAATAAACAAGCTTTACGAAGGAAATTCCTTCTTTTAAAATGAAGCTGGAGACGAGAGAGATATTCGAGACCGTCCACCTCACTTTTTCCAATCTTAGAAAGAGTCGAACTCGGTACTTCATTCAATTCCCAAGACGTCGGCCGGGAACAGTAAAAGACTGGATGAAGCGAACACCAGGTCAGTGTCATGAGAACATGTTGCGTCGACGGGCGGGGCGAAGCTTATTATACCTGGGACGCATGTTCTTCTCTGTAGCGGCAAGGTAGGGGACGGACGGTCGGTCTCACCCACCCCCAGCAAGTCCCAAGGGTCTGTCTCTTTCTCTCACTCACTGGGCAGTCACACACACATACACACACACACACACACACACACACTGGTCACTTTTTAGGTGCTCTGCTCTGCATCTGCCCACCGCCGTCCGACGGGCCTTTGGTGTCAGCGGGAGGCTGGAAGCTGGAGCTGCCCCTCGTTCTCTCCGGGGGTCCGACCAGGCCTGTCCGTTCCATTCCTTCTTTTTCCCGTCCTTTCCCATCTTCGCTTGGCGAGCAACGCCCAGCCACCCCGCTGCGGAAAAGAGTGACGATTGGCAGCTGAGCAGCAGAATCGCAATGGAGTGAGGAGCATAAACATGGGTTGCTGAGTGGTGGTGGCGGCGACGACGGCAGATGTCAAATCGTGTCTGCGCCCCAAAAATAGACCTTGAGATTCGGAATGCGGCTACAATACAGTTTGCTTGGGATTTTGAACCAATTGACTCTCAGCTTATCGCGTGCGGAACCCTTCCTACCTGATGCAAAGCCGAGAAACGACAGGCAGATGCTTAAAGTCCGTCGGCTTGTTCGCTGACCACACTGGTCCCTAGCCCGGGGAATCGTCACCATTTTGTGGCTGTGCGAATACTTGCAGTTAACACCAAGAGCCTAAGCCTCTCGTTCCTCTTGCCGCGTATTAGCAGACATCCTCGGGCAGTGCTTACTGCTGTACTGCCTCTACGATTACCCACTTCGCCTGTCTTCTGGCCCTCTACACCTTCTATCATACAAGGCGATCAAAGGCGATGAAAATCACAGCGGCAACTAGTCAATGAGAGCCGCAAAAGCTTACCTGCGACTAAAGTGCCTCCCGCGGCTTCTTCGTACTTTCGGCCCGTATCCGTATTGCGCGTATGTTCATGGCGGGGCCTCTTGGACACCGAACTTTGTAAGCAACCGTTGGGTCCATCTGATGTAAGTATTCCATCCCATGCTCAACATTCAGTCACTGAGATCTTGGCGTTACCACCGCCAAGGCTTTATTGCTGCTCGCCGCTCATTGGCTCGTAGTAGCTATTGCAAAGAATGGAAAGCTGCTGTCTCGAAGTCTCGAGGCGTCACCTGCCACTCGTCCAAAGGAGCTGCATCCATTGAGCCGCGGCCAATTCGATGGTATTACTTGTAAACTCAATTTGTGGTCATGAGTCGAATTCGAGGGTCTTCCGGCTACGGATGTTGATATGCTTTGTCATGAGCAAATCAACGGTTCCAACTATAACTGCCTACCTCTCAGCATAGTCACACTCGGCGTAACCAATCGGATGTAGTAATTATTCAAAGACATTTTGATCTTTTTTTGCCTGCCTCAACTAATCTCCTGCTTGAAGCTTGATAAGCCTTTGATTTCTACAGTCCACCATCTTGCTTTTGTAAGCCGCCCAGAAACTATGAGCGTTCTGAATTTGATATCGTCTAGTCCAACATCGTTCTTCGTCTTCTGATTCGCGTAGTTCCTTGAGTGCCTCCGCCGTGATTCTCGTCCTTTCGTAGTCATCGAGGACGCTCCGACGGCGCCTGGGTATTGTGGCCTCATCGAATCCCGAATTCCTGTTACCTCCGGCTCTTTTCCGTATAGCATCCTGATTGACAGGTATTGTTCGTCGTTGCTGCATTTCGCCCACGCAACGAGCTGATCTTTTGGGCGCTGATCGTATTATGCTTGCCCCGTGATCTCTCACGGCAGCGACGCCTGAGCCTTCGACAACATCTGTCATGTCGCTTCTCTTCTGTGGTCCTCTCACAGATACTCCTTCTTTCTACCAGTACGAGTGTACTGTGTAAGGTGCCATTCAACATCGCCGTCCTTGTTCTCCAGGGTACCACCGCGAATCTCGAAGGGACGCATTGTCATTCGAGGTCCAACCTCGGCAAGCTCGACAGAATCGTACGAAGTCCGGACAAAGACGTGACTATCAGGGGGTTAGCAAGGATCTGGCTCGGATTAGAGCCACGAATGAACTTACTGTCTCACTTCAATAGAATCTTCGTTGTTGACAAACGTGACTACCCTTGAGCCTACCTTGGCCTTGGTGGTTGGCGGTTCAAGAGGAGGGAAAAGGTGTTTCAGAATCTTCACAACCCGCTGTCCGAGCCGACTAAGAGATTTGACTGATGGTTAATGACCGCCAAGAAACTCCTCAAATCGATGTCTAGCATACCTCTTGAAACCATCGAATATGAGCCGAGGGTAGGCCTCCGAGACAGACCCTCTGATACTTCCCGGTATGTCTGATCTAGATACGATATTAATCTCTACCCTATCGCTGATCGTTCGGGCGTGAGGAGGTACCTGAAAACAATATTATGCAGGGAGAATGAGATTGTCGGGCCGTGTGGAAGGTGGGAGATACTTTGTAGGAGATACGTCAGTATGCGGCTCGTCGAGAAATCTAGATATAGCAACATACGTCATGGCGGTTGGCACACCGCGATGTTCGTGAAGGAGGACGAGATCGGTGAGTCCGTTTGACTTGCTAGACTGCACAAGATCCGGGAGAATCAAATTTCCACGGTTGAGCCTAACGGACGTAGGAAAGAGCAGTCTAATTTCCTTCGAGAAATTTTGAAGCCGTGAGCTCGGGTCTCTTGAAGTCTAGGTAGAGGATGAGGTGGTAAGCTTTTACTCATGTGCCTAGAATAAGATACTCCAGACCAAGGCACCCTGGAGCTGCGCTTGCGCAGCGGAAGGGAGCGATGCTCCGACTTATTAGATAGACTCACGGTTACTAGTAGACGTGGCTCGGAAATTCCCGACAGCTGAGAGTATTCGTCGTCCAGATCCATCTCCTCGTCGACAGTTCTATCGGGTCGCGATTCGTCATATTGGTAGTCTTTGCGCAGCGCCTTGTTCTTTGCGATTTCGGGGTCGATGGGCTTGCCAGAAGCAAGAGCAGATCGTAGCTGGGCCCGCTTCTCGGTCGTTTCGGCCTCTTTCAGGATAAGCGCCTTGCGATAGAGGTAGTCGCGCCGTTGTCGAGCCTGTTTCCGAATCATGCTGGGCAATTGCGTCGAGTGAGGTTGGTATGGGAAGATGGTGCGATGTCTAACACGAAGATTCGCGATGCGTCCACCAAGGTAGACATGCTGATAAAAAAAAAAACCTTATCAGGTGGCAGGTATCCACTTTGTAACACCCCAGTCTGCCAGTCACGTGGTGATAAGCTACATCCCACCAAAACACCACCCTTTCGCCGCTGCTCTGAGGTGTCGGACTTTGGATCTTTTTGTTAGCTGGGTGCTTGGATTCACCAACGAAAAGGCACACAACCGCTCACGACAAGTCCCTGGCCAGTTGCTGTACCTTTGAGGTTTCCGCACAATTCCCCCAACTTCACATACCGATATGATGTGACCTTACCCATCCCCGATCCACCTCGAATCCCCCTTCCGTACGACCTGAGCCAACTGAGGCTCTGCGACGCCGAACCATTCGAGAACCATAAAGAAGCTGAAGTAAGTTGCGCATTCCCCATAGCACCAAACCGATGTCTCCGACACCATCGCAGGCACCTACATAGGCATTTCTACAGTTGTGTTATTCGCGACATCCCACTAACACTTTCGCAAGGGAGATCAGCAGAGAGAAGTAGAAATCCGGAATACCGCGAATATGGAGAGCGCCTTCAAGAATCTCGGCAACCACCTGGTTTCCGACAGCGCCGCTGCGATCAAGGCAGGCGACGACGTTTTGACCGGTATCGACGCCGATGAGAGTCTTCTCTACGGCAAATTTGGCGGTCGCGACGGTCGCCGCCGCGCCGACGACGATGACAACCAAACCGAGCTTTACGATGATGACGATGTCGACAGCCTGACCAGCATGCCTGTCGGGGCTATGAAGGATCTCAATATCGGAAGACCCAAGGAGGAAGATAGGAAGCTTCCCCCTCACGCTTGCGCGTATGGCATGCCTCCGAGCTTCCGAGCCTTCGTTTGAATCTAACACTGGCTTAGATACTGTGGAATTCATTCCCCGAGCTCCGTCGTCAAGTGCCTTGGCTGCAACAAGTGGTTCTGCAGTGCCCGCGGAAATGCTACCTCCAGCCACATCGTTTCCCATCTGGTACGGGCGAGACACAAGGAAGTTCAGCTTCACCCGGAGTCCACCCTGGGTGATACTGTGCTTGAGTGCTACAACTGTGGAACCAAGAACGTCTTTCTCCTGGGCTTCATTCCCGCCAAGTCGGACACCGTTGTTGTGCTGCTTTGTCGTCAGCCTTGTGCTGCGAATACATCTTCCAAGGACATGAGCTGGGATACCTCTCGATGGCAGCCCCTGATCGAGGAGAGAGCTTTCCTCACCTGGCTCGTTGCGACGCCTTCCGATGCCGAGCAGCTCCGTGCTAGACACCTCACCCCGCCGATGATTGCCAAGCTGGAGGAGATGTGGAAGGAAAATGCGACTGCTACGGTTGCCGATCTTGAGAAGGCCGCTAGCATCGACGACGACCCTCACCCCGTACTGCTCAAGTACGACGACCCTTACCACTACCAGAACATCTTCGGCCCGCTTGTCAAGATGGAATCCGACTACGACAAGAAGCTCAAGGAGGCGCAGTCCGAGGATGGACTAACAGTCCGCTGGGATTACGGTCTCAACAACAAGCACCTGGTCAGCTTTGAATTGCACAAGATAGAGTCGGGTGACGTCAAGCTGGCCGTTGGCGACGAAATGCGACTGCGGTACAAGGGCGAGCTCCGCCCCGCCTGGGAGGGAGTTGGCTATGTCATCAAGATTCCCAACAACCAGTCTGACGAAGTAACCCTCGAGCTGCGTAAGGCCGGCAACGAGAAGACCGTCCCGACTGAGTGCACCCACAACTTTTCCGCAGACTATGTCTGGAAGGCTACTTCGTACGATCGCATGCAGTATGCTATGAAGACTTTCGCCGTGGACGACATGAGTGTCTCGGGTTACATTTTCCACAAGCTCCTGGGCCACGACGTTGCCGTTGCGCCGATGAAGACGACTATGCCTAAGAAGTACAGCGTTCCCGGCCTCCCCGACCTCAACACCAGCCAGATCGCCGCCATTAAGGCTGTGCTGTCGACCCCGCTCAGCTTGATCCAGGGACCTCCAGGCACTGGCAAGACTGTTACCTCGGCGACCATCATCTACCACCTGTGCAAGATGAACAACGGACAAGTTCTCGTGTGCGCGCCCTCCAACGTGGCCGTTGACCAGCTCTGTGAGCGTATCCACCGCACCGGTCTCAAGGTCGTTCGTCTTACAGCCAAGTCCCGCGAGGATGTTGAGTCCTCCGTGAGCTTCCTTGCTCTTCATGAGCAGGTTCGCATGAATGACAGCAATGGTGAGCTGGTCAAGCTGGCGCAGCTCAAAACCGAGCTCGGCGAACTGTCCAGCCAGGACGAGAAGAAGTTCAAGCAGCTCACCAAGGCGGCCGAAAGAGATATTCTCCACAACGCTGATGTCGTCTGCTGCACTTGTGTTGGTGCTGGTGATCCTCGTCTGTCAAAGATGAAGTTCCGCAATGTCCTCATCGACGAGTCGACCCAATCGGCCGAGCCCGAGTGTATGATTCCTCTCGTTCTCGGATGCAAGCAGGTTGTTCTCGTTGGTGACCACAAGCAGTTGGGCCCTGTCATCATGAACAAGAAGGCTGCCAAGGCTGGTCTCAACCAGTCCTTGTTCGAGCGTCTCGTCAACTTGCGCTTGGTTCCCATTCGCCTCAACATCCAGTACCGCATGCATCCTTGCTTGTCTGAATTCCCTTCTAACATGTTCTACGACGGATCTCTCCAGAACGGTGTTACTGTGAAGGATCGTGTTCGCCGCGATGTCGATTTCCCTTGGCCCGTCGTCGATATGCCGATGATGTTCTGGTCCAACCTCGGCAATGAGGAAATCTCGGCATCCGGAACATCCTACCTGAACCGTACTGAAGCCTCCAACGTGGAGAAGGTAGTGACCCGCTTCTTCAAGGCCGGTGTTAAGCCCCTGGACATTGGTGTTATCACTCCGTACGAGGGTCAACGAAGCTACATTGTTAGCACCATGCAGAACACCGGCACCTTCAAGAAGGAGAGCTACAAGGAGGTTGAGGTTGCCTCCGTCGACGCCTTCCAGGGCCGTGAGAAGGACTTCATTGTTTTGTCCTGTGTCCGTTCCAACGACAACCAGGGTATTGGTTTCCTTTCGGACCCTCGCCGTCTCAATGTTGCCTTGACTCGTGCCAAGTACGGTCTTGTCATCATTGGTAACCCCAAGGTTCTTTCCAAGCACGAGCTGTGGCACCACCTCCTTGTCCACTTCAAGGACCGCAAGTGCTTGGTTGAGGGTCCTTTGACCAACTTGCAGACTTCTCTGTTGCAGTTCGGAAAGCCCAAGACAGCATATCGCCAGAAGATGAGCCAGCCCCCTCAATTCAATGCCGGTGGCGGGTTCCCCAACGGCGGCGGCAACCGCTTCAACGGCGCTGGCTCCACACGCGACTTTGATTCGGGATCTATGATGTCTTACATTCCCGACGACGTCTCCTCGATCCACAGCTCTCTGGGCGGTGCCGGCTTAAACACCACCTACCCTCCCATCTTCTCGAGCTTCACCCCTGACCAATGGCCTGGCCTCCCCGGAGTGCCCGGATCTAGCCGCTCCGGCGTCAAGAGAGGAGGTCGCGCCGCCGAGAGCATCGCGGGCGAGAGTGTCGCGAACTCCGAGTACACAGATGCCAGCGCCAGCGTCATCGGTGCCAAGGGTGTCGGACAAGGCGGAGTCAGCTTGGGCGCCGGCCTCCAAGACGCCATTCACGGTATGCGCCCTGCGTCCTACAGCCACAGCGACCGCTTGAAGCATTACGTCGAAAGTGGTGGTCGTATGGGAGCCGGCAATGGCTTCAGCCGGCGCTACGATGACGACGAGAAGAGCGTCAGCACCGCCTTCCACAGCCAGATTGGTGGCGGCTTCGACTGAGTGCCGAGATGGATTGGGACAGGGACTTGCTTTACCAAATCCAAGGGTCATTTACACCTCATCCTCTGAAGGCTTCATCCCTCGCCGCACCATGCTCGGTGCTGTACACAGGAACAGGCAGCACGCCTGAGCCTAGAGGCATCTCGGAATACCTGCTCCGGTCATTGAGAACCACTCCACGTGGTCGACCATTCGGCTTCCAACGACGACAACGACGTGCCGCAGGCGGGTCATGGCCCGACCAGCGGGAGCTGCAACCGACGGAGGGGGTCGCATGCGCGCCCTCAACGGCCCGTACTTTGCAGATTGTCAATCAGGGAGATGTCGAGTGTTAGCAAGGGGAAGAGAGATCTGGCGGGGATAGGAGGTTATGCTCGGGCGGAGGACACGGGTCAGCGGGCAACTCAAAATGCGGTCGAGCATTAAGGCGTAGAAGCGACAAGTCTTCTATGGCACACTGCATTTACTGCGAGGAAGCCCACGACAGATGCCATGCAGTTTCTATGCTGCACGCAGAAAGCGCACTACGAGATCCAGCTTAGAGTTTAGCTTCTTAGTCTAATCACCGTCTTTATTTGCACCTTGTCCACTGCCCCCGGATTGCGCTAATCATCGTGAGACCACGTTCACAGTGTTCTGATCCACAGGCCTGGCCGGGCGGGAGAGGTAAACTTGTCAATATGGCACACGCGGACCCTGTGTTCCTTGAGTATCGGATATACTCCGAAGTACGGTACCTTTTCGTGTTAAATGCGCCGTGGTGCCTTGCTTATTACTTGTTTGGATTCAAAGGGTGGAAGAATTGTATCCTCTTTTTTCCTTGCTGATGGCGTAGCATCAGCCAATCCACTGATAGACAGGGGCCAGGCTCCGGCCCCCCACAGACTTGAAAATAGATTGGCAGCGACGGGGGGCCACCCATGTTCAAGCGCGGGAGCCTCACCCAATCTGACAACGACAAGCAGGTCACCACCCCCTGACAGTCCTGACGGACATGCATTCTTCGCGAGACCGGGCTATCTGACGGAAGGTCCACTATGACGATCCGTCTGATTCTTGGCTT